TTTAAAATCCTACTCAGTGTTTTAACCGACTCTTTTTATCAAATATCCTTCATCGCGGAGTTGAAATTCAACTTAAAAATATAAAAAGGATTCCTATTGTTGAGCCGTATTATGGGTGACTCCTTTGTCGTAAAGTTGAGTCGATTCTGAGATGTCTTTGACCACGATATCCTTTGTGAAGAAGTTGAGTCAGTCGAGCGTGATATCTTTCGCTGTGAAGTTGAAATCCAGCTCGAGCCTGAAGTAGCGGTAAGTCCTCGCCATCTTCTTCTAGCTTAATACCCTTCGCCGTGAAGTTGGAATTTGACTAGATGAATTTAGTTGAGATAGTTCCTTGTTGTTGCAGATGCCTCTTTTGTTGTGAAGTTAAGTTTATTTACGGGGCACGATATTCCTTCGTCGTGAAGTTGAAATTGTGGGTGACTCATTCGTCATGAAGTTGATCCAAATTGAATATATTTTCTAAGTCGGATATCTTTCGTCGTGAAGTTGAAATCCAACTTGGATGTATGTATTGTCCTTAATCTTGATTGTTCCCCAAGTTCAATATCCTTCATTGCGAAGTTGAAATTGACTATGATAAAAATCTGTAAAATTATGCATGTGCGATGCTATGAATACAGTATGTGAAATATGTTATTTTAGGATTTTTAGAGAGGAATTTCAATCTCTTGCTATCAATATTGATTTTTCTAACGTCTCTTGATCCCTGCCAATCTTGAATTTCTGACTCTTGATTTTGGATTTCTGATCATCGACGAGCTTTGATCTAGTATCATCTCCAGGAATTTTCAGAAGGAAACTTTGCTTCTAATCTTGATCAATGCCTAGTATTTGTGCCATTCCTTTGAGTATGGTGCAAGAACCTTTACCGACTTCTAAACACTTGTATTTTTCAAGAAATCTTTGTGCGGTAATACACAATGATCTTTCATAAAAAGTGATTAAATTATTCTTATTTAAATTCAATGTAAGAGCTAAGGAGTTGATTTCTCAGACAAATGGCCATATTTATTTATGTGAAAAAAATAAAATACATGGCAAACATAAAAAGACGAAGTTATTCAGAAATTCAAATAGCTACCCTAGATCTCGATAATATGGATGCTTTTGAACTGGCACACTGTTAGATGACTTTTGAGTGCAGTTTTTGTCAAGGAGACTTCGAAGATGCGACAATGTTGGAAGAGTGCAAAGCTCCTCCCAAATCACTAAGTCTTCTGAAGACTTGGATATCGTGATGCTTTATTGCCTTGATCCAGGACCTTCTTGTGCGCGAATCCTGAATCATTACCCAAGCTGCCCTTTTGGGTTGTCAACTTGGATCCTCCCTCGGTTTCAAGACGTCCTTTGCGGGTTTTTATCTTGGACCCACCTTTTATTTATCTTTTCATTTTTATTTAGAGCGCTCTTTCGGGTTTTCACTCTAAACCCCCTTTTTCAACTTAGAGTGCCCTTTCGGGTTTTCACCCTAAGCGAAATATTTCTTGACTACATCAGAGTTTACAGGATTTGGTAGTTTCGGCCAATCCATTCTGTCAGGATTAGTGCTTCTCCGGAGAAGGTCTTCTTCACGACATAAGACCCTTCCCAATTTGGCATTCATTTTCCTCTGAAGTCTTTTTGGATTGGCCATGTCTTTTTTAGTACAAGATCTCCTTCATGTAATACTCTAGGGCACACCTTATTTTTGTGTTCGGATCATTCGCTTATGGTAGAGTCGATAGTGGTGAATGACTTTCAATTTTTTTTCTTATATTAGGTTCAGTTGATCATATCAAGTTTGCGCCCATTATGTACCATCCAGTTTAACTTCTAACAAAACCCAGAGTGATGGGATTTCTACCTCAATGGGCAATACAACCTCTATCCATATGCTAATGAAAATGGGGTTGCCTCAGTCTAGGTCTGTTGTAACACCCCAAACACCGGCTAGTAACTAAAGTGTAAGATTTTAAACTTAATTATTAATTTTGATAAATTGAAAAGTTTAGGGATTTAATTGGAAATTATTGGTATAGGTTGATTAGCAAAGATTGAAAGATGGAATGGCATAATGTCTTTAGACAAGAAATGAATCTAAAATTCATTATTGGTGTATTATAAACGTGGAGAAGAATAAAAGGAAATCTAGAATTCTCTCTCTTCATCCTTTCTTCCTCCTCTCCACCGTGAGTTCTTGGCTAAGGTAAGAAATCTTCCAGTTAGTTATTTCTTGTAATTTTTTATTGGTTTTGATTCTTGGGTATTATGGAAGCTTGAGAAAGCTTAAGAAGTAGAAACTAAAAGATAGATAAGTTATTGGTAATTGAGTAAAGAGGGTTTTTTGAGAGAATTAATGAGAAATGATTAATAAATGGATTTTGAAGTTCTAATTGAGTTTAAAGGCCTAAAAGGAGATAAAAGTTGGAGATTTAACTGGGTTTTGGTAAATTTTTAAGTTAAAATGAGTAAGTTCTGGGTAAGGGTATCAATATTGAATGAACAGTACCTATACTTCAAAACAAAATAGGTGAAATATGATATGATCAGTAACAATATCGATATTGAAAAAGTAACATCGATACTAGGGTATTAATACTAATGGACAAGTATCGGTACCACTTTTAGAGACGAAATTCCAGAATGCAGATTGGGTATCGATACTGAATATAGTATCAATATCATAGTGAGGAAGTATCGGTACTGGGCCTAGGGTACCAATACTGTTCATCTTGAATTTGTGAATTAGGTGTTTCTTTTAGTTTAAGTTATTGATGATTGATAAATAGGAATACGAATTTCAATATTCATCTCGATCTTATTATTGTGTAGTTATTGAACGAAGGAAAGTTCCGGACGATTATACATTATAAAACCGACCAAGAGTGATAATGGTTTTGCTTTGACTGAGTGAGGCCAAGTTGAGTGCATATTACTATAATATATGGTTATGTGGGAAAAAGACTTGTGATGAGTCTATTTCTAATGTTTTGATTAAAACAATATTTTGAAATTTTATTAAAGGTTTTGAATACATGTTTACATGAGTATAAATATGGTTTTGAATACATTACTACGTGTACATGCACTGTTTGTATTTCATATTATGTGTTATTGATCTATATGATTATATGAATATGTGATATAAGCTATGAGAAATGTATAAATGGTAAAGCCCAAAAGTATGTGATATGAGAGCTAAAGGTATAATTGGCATGCCAAGAGTCGATGGTTCTACACGGTCCTTCAAGACATTTCTATGTGGTCCTTCGGAATAATTTCTAAGTGGCACTTCTGTGCATATTTTAAGCGGGACTTCGGTGCAATTCTATATGGCAATTTCGACTGCAACCCAGTGCACAACCTCAATGCACTCACATACCTTAAGTTCTCAGTGATGTACCATAGGCTATTAAAAGAAATGACATGAATGAGCAGTGCATGATAATATATGTTTTTGTTTTATGAAATGTACTATGGTTTCTTTATTCTATGATTTTTATAAAAAGATAATAATAAGATTAAATGTTTTAATGTTTTATTATGCACTTTATACCTCACTAAGTCAAAGACTTAGCGTGTGAATGTTTTCACACGTAGGTTCAAAGAAGCCAAAGAACAAGCTAGGACAAGTCAAGAAAGCATATCTCTACAGAAAAACATATCAGAAACGATTTAAGCACTATGTTCTTTTTCTATATTGAATTTTGTTGGCATGTAATTAAATGTTTAAATCGCATATGCTCTGATCAATTTTTGTAAACATACTTTATTGTATCTATGTAAATTATTAAGTTTTTATTTTCAATTTGAGTTTGAATTGTCCATATTTACTTTCATTTAAGGGTTCCACCATTTTAATACAAATAAAAGTTTAAATATTTCAACTACTTTGTAAAAGTCAATGATTTGAAAAGTCAGTGTGGCACCTCGGATTTGTATCTAGGTCGGATATGGTTGGGGGTGTTACATCCGCACTGAAGTTCGGTAAGCAATAAGGCGAAAGGTAACTTCTCGTGCCAATCTTTATATGTCTCAGTCGTTTTCCCTCCATTATTTTCTTGATATTTTTATTTGTTGCTCTACCGCTCCACTCATCTTTGGTCGAATAAGCAGTAGAGTTGTGATGCTTTATGTTGAATTGTTCACATACAACATCCATCATCTTATTGTTTAAATTGGTTGCATTATCGGTAATGATCATTTCTAGTAAACCATACCGACATATGATCTCCTTTTTTAAGAATTTACAAATAGTGGACTGAGTGATATTGACATATGATGTAGCTTCGACCCATTTAGTAAATAGTCAATCGCTACAAGAATGAATCGATGACCGTTTGAAGCTTTAGGATGGATTTGTCCAATGACATCCATGCACCACATGGAAAAGGGCCACGGTGTCGTCATCACATGAAGTAGACGAGGTGGAACATTTATTTTATCCCCATAAACTTGGCACTTATGACATCGTCTGGCATAATTGATGCAGTCGCTCTCCAATATGGACCAAAAGTATCTGCACCTCATAACTTGTCTTGTCATCATATGCATGTTTGCATGTGTTCCACACACTCTGTCATGTACCTCTTCTAAGATCATTTTTGCATCTTCTGCATCTACACATCTTAGCAAGACTTGATCATGACTTTTCTTGTATAAGACTTATCCATCAATAATATATTCAGCTGTCATTATGATTGTCTTTTTGTTAGTCTCAGTGGATTCCTTCGAATAACTTTGATTTTTTATATGCAGGATGTCATGGTACCATGTTGTTTAATCTTTACCTCTTCGATTTGATAACAATGAGTCGGATACTCATATGATTGCATCTCGATTGGCATCATGTCAGATTCCCCACCAGCTTTGAATGCTACTACCAAGATAGCTAAAGCATCTGTCATTTGGTTATCTTCTCTTGGTACGTAATGGAAAGTGACCTCATCAAATTCTTTAAGTAGATCCAAAATGAGCTTTTTTTATTCCACCAACTTGGTATCTTTTATTTCCCACTCTCATCGGAGTTGATATATCGCTAAGGCAGAATCTCCATATACCCTCAGAGTCTTTATGTTATGTCCAATATCAGCTCGAATCCCTAAAACACAAGCTTCATATTCTGCCATGTTGTTAGTGCAGTCAAAATTCAATCTGCTAGTGAATGGATAGTGATTTCCTTTGGGTGAGACCAAAATAGCCCTAATACCATGCTCCAACGCATTTGATGCACCATCGAAATGTATTTTCCAAGAGTTACATGTGGAAATACTTGCTTCTTCTAAATATATGGCATTCAAGTCTTCATCTGGGAAATTGAAGACCAATGGTTCATAGTTTTCAAACGATCTCCTGGCTAGAAAGTCAGATATGACATTTCCCTTTACAGCCTTTTGGCTCACTTACTCAATATCAAATTTAGATAATACCATTTGCTATCAAGCTAACCTTCCAGAGAGAGCAAGCACACATATCATGAATTTAAGCTAATCCAACTTAGAAATTAACCAAGTTATATGGTATTGCATATATTATTTGAGTCTTTGTGTAGCCCAGACTAGAGTATAACAAACTTTATCAATGGGTGAATATCTGGCTTCACATTCGGTGAACTTCTTACTTAGGTAGTAAATGGCTCTTTCTTTCCTCCCTGATTCATCATGTTGTCCCATGACGCATCCCATTGATTTCTCAAATATGGAGAAGCAAAGGAACAAAGGCTTACTTGGGATAGGAGACATTAGAACAGGAGTGTGAGACAAATACTCTTTTATTTTCTCGAAAGTGATCCGACAGTCCTCGTCCCATGTTCCATAATTATTCTTTCAAAGAATATGGAAAATTGGATCACATTTGTCTGTCAACTGGGATATGAACCGAGCAATATAGTTTAATCTACCCAGAAAATCTCGAACTTCTTTCTGTGTTCGTAGAGGAGGTAGATTCTGGATAGATTTGACTTTATCCGGATCAACTTCAATGTCTTTTCTGCGAACAATGAAGCCTATCAGCTTCCCAGATATTACTCCGAAGGTTCACTTGTTTGTATTCAACTTTAATTGGAATTTTCTTAGTCTTTGGAAGAGTTTCCTCATATTATCGATGTGTTCATCTTCGGTTTGTGCCTTGAAAATCATGTCATCTACATAAACTTTGATTTATTTATGCATCATGTCGTGAAACAATGTCATCATGACTCTTTGGTATGTTTCCCCTGTATTCTTTAATCCTAAGGGCATTACATTGTAAAAAAATGTCCCCCACATAATGACGAATGTGGTCTTCTTCATGTCCTCTGGATGCATTTTAATCTAGTTGTATCCTAAGAACTCATCAATGAATGAGAATAAAGAATTTTCGGCTTTATTATCCACCAAAGTGTCTATGTGCGGCAAAAGGAAATTGTCTTTAAGACTTGTTTTATTGAGGTCCCGATAGTCGACTCACATACAAACCTTTCCTTCATTCTTTGGCACTAGAACTCTATTATCCACCCACTCCAGATATTTGGCCACCTGAAGAAAGCCAACATCAAACTGCTTCTTAACTTCTTCTTTTATTTTAAGTAGCATTTCTTCCCTTCTGGCAGCTTCGCTGAATACCATGTTTTATTCTTCTCAAGTGCTTCCATTTCATCTTTCATAACCTTTTTCCAGATTTCAGTCTTTAATGCCTCGGATACATTCTTAGGAATGACAATGACATTTAGGTTGATAAGGAAGGCTTTGTGATTAGGGGATAAGTTTTTGTAAGTCATGAATAAATAGGAAGAAAGTTTTGTAGTACAAATTATTTTTCTTTTTCTAATAGCAATGGGAAATTCAAAATTAGAAGTAGACATAAAATTTTCAGTATCATTTTGATCATGATGAGTTTCAAAATTTATAGGAGCAAGAGAATGAATGATTGAATATGCATAGGTGCCTTCTTCCTTGAATAGACCAGTAGGGGACGAGTAGTGTCTGGAATGTTTGGTTGTGGCATATTAGCTTTGGTTGTGGAGAAGTTGGAGTAGAAGCAGGTTGTGTTTGTTTAGATTGTGTAGGTGTAGGGAAGTCAATGAGTAGCTGAAGTAGAAAAAATTTGTATTCTTATCTTCCCTAAATAATATCTCCCCCTGAAGATAAGGAACAGTAAAATAACTTTCTTTTTCCATAAAAGTAACATCAATAGAGGTGTAGTGTTTCCTTGTAGGTGGGTGATAGCACTTGTAGCCTTTTTGAGTGGAAGAGTAGCCAAAAATTATATATTTTAATGCCCTTAGATCAAGCTTACCTTGGCCCTGAGAATATATATGAACAAAAGCAACACACTCAAATATTCTAGGTTTTAGATTAAGTGGTGGACAGGAATTTGAAAGAAAAAAATTGTGAGGATCTGAAGGGGTCTTTGAAATTCAAGAATTTTAGTGGGTAGTCTAATTATCACGTAAATGGCAGTTAACATAATCTCTCCCCATTATTGTTTAGGAATTTTGTTTTGAAATAGAAAAAGCTTTTATTATAACAAGTATATGGTCATTCTTTCTTTCTGCTACACCATTCTGTTGGGGAGTATTTACACTGGAGGATTTATAAATGATACTTTTTTCTAGAAAGTATGGAGATATAACTTGATTAAAGTAGTCTTTGGCATTGTTTGATCTGAATCGCTTTATTTCAGTCCCAAATTGAGTCTTAATCATAGTGTAAAAGGTTTTAAAGGTTGATGTAACATCTGATTTCTATTTTAGTAGGAAGATCCATGAAACCTGAGTACAATCGTCTATAAATGACACAAACTATCTAGACCCAGTTATATTAGGAATAGTGGAAGGCCCCCAAACATCACTGTAAATGAGAGTAAAAGGTTGGTGGTCTTTTATTGCTTGTTGGGAAAGAAAAACGTTTATGTTTTGCAAGTTCACATACTTCGCAATAAAATTCTTTAATATTTAGGGATTTAAACAAAAAGGGAAACATAATCCTTAAAACTTTAAAAGGTGAGTGACTAAAGCAAAAATGGTGTAGCCAGATTTTGTATTCATTGGCACTAGATTATGATAAAAGAGACAATGGTTGGATATTCAAGACTCTAACTGGTCCACTAGGGTCTTTAAGATAGTATAGGTTGTTTACTTCCCTAGCACACCCAATCATCCTCTTTGTTCCTTGCTTTTGAAAAATGCATTGTGTAGGATGAAACAAAACACTGCAGTTAGTGTCTTTGATAAACATTTGGATAGATATGAGACTATTAAATAGTTTAGGTACATGTAGAACATTTTTAACCAATAGGGTTTTACTTATAGTAATATCTCCTTAGCCAGCAACGATTATGATAGTACCATCTGCAATTGTGATTTTTTTGTTGCTAGGACAGGGTGTGTAGGTGAGAAATTTGATTGAGGAATTAGTCATATGGTATGTGGCTCCTGAGTCAATCACCCAGGAATTTTGAGTAGGTATATGAGTAGATGACTCCAAGACATTAGAATCCTAAGAAAAGGAAGAAGATATACATGAGAAAACCACATATATCGATATAATCAATTTACATCACAAAAAGCTCTATCTAGAAACCAAAAAAGTTATATGTTACTATAATAATAATTGTTGAAATTTAAATTATTATCCTTCTAACGGTCACAAAATAAATTAAAAATAATTAATATTACTAATATAATGAAATGTTATCAAATTTTAAACTGATGTGGCCTTATTCATTCAGACGACAACATGATAAGTTGGTTTCTATCTGAATAGTAGGTTGCGATCTGAAATGTTATAAATTTCAAAAATATCGATTTTCTTTAAAAAGAAGTATTGATACTTACCAGCAACTTAAGTTACCCGGTTAAGCCATTTTTAATTATTTTAAAATATTTGCAACCTATATATTAAATTTAATTCAATATTACCAGTAACGATAAACTTATTTTTATTAAATTTCTTTTAAAATTTCCGATTGCACCCTTTTTTAGCATTATGTTATTATGTTGTTCTTTATAATTTCCCGAATGAAACCCTTGGAGAAGGGGAAATGTTTAGTCTTCATAAAATCCAATAAATTTTAAATACGTGTCAGCACCCAAATAAACTTTCGTCCATTATTTATATTAATGATCAACAACAGCTCATTCAATTTCCCAAATAACTTAAAAACCCTAGAACTTCCCAATTCGTGTTTATAAACCAATCCGATTAAAATCACTCCGAATTCCCAGGGTTTTAGACTAAATTAAATCCTCCGATTAAGAAATGGCGACCGCAACGGGACAGGCAAATGCTAGGAGAAAAACCGGTGTTTGTGAAAGTAGAGGATTTGAAACCCGGTAAGGGCACACTCTGATCGTCATAGTGGTAGAGACGACTGTTGTCAACACTTCCTAACACAAATTAATGCGTCCGTCCCCGTAAACGGGTAATTTATCTTGTTGTATAATGTATAATAATTAACAAACCAAGTTAAATGACATTTTACGTTTTAAGTATGAATTCTCGGAATTTCAAACAATAACGTTGATGGTAAAATGTGGTTTACAATGGTCATAAGCGGTTCTCTTATGGCTTGGACGAGAATTATAGTTGGTAAGGACATGCGTATGATTATATGCTTTTATATTATGGACGAACTTTTAAAATTTTAGAGATGAATAAACTGATAAAATTTTAAGAATAAAAATATATTATCAATAAAATGTATAAAAAATTATATCTAAAATTGACGATCACAACCCACCCACACTCAGTCCGTCTATAGTCGGTAATATTTTTCTCGGAAGAATGAAGATGATGAATAATATAAGCATGTGAGTAGGGGTGAACAAAACTCGACTGGAAAAATCGATTTTTTTTTTCAATTTCGAGTTATTCGAGTCAAGTTATTCTAGTCAACTCAAATTATAAATTCGGTTTTCTAGTCCGAGTCGAGTTGAAATTTTGAATTTCGAGTTACTCGAAAAACTGAAAATTTGACCCAGTATTTTGACAGTTTTACGATTTAGTCCATGATTTCATTATTTCTTCAATTCCTCATTTATTTTTAGGTCTATTTCTTACCAAATTTGAACCACATGTTATTAAACCATAGTATAATACATGTGTACTTTCAATTCCTCTTTTTGATAACAATTTTTTTTATTTTTCAATTTAGTCCTTCAATTTTTCATAATCTCCTTATTTCTTCAATTCGTCATTTATTTTAAGTCATTTTTATCAAATTTGAGCCACATGCTCCTAAACCATAATAGAATACACGTGTACTTTCAATACCTCTTTCTGATAACAAATTTTTTATTTTTCAATTAAGTCCTTCAATTTTTCATAATCTCCTTGTTCCTTCAATTTGTGATCTATTTTAAGTCACTTTGTTTTACCAAACTTGAACCACATGCTCATATACCACAATAGAATACTTATGTAACTTTAATTGTTATTTTTTTAACTAAAGATATATTATCTTTTTTATTTAGTCCCTAAACTTTGCATGTTACTCAATTTAACAAATCATTGTCATAATATTATAAATAATTATAATAAAATTAGTACAGAAACTTGAATAACTCGACTCAAAAAAAATTCAAGTTAAGTTCGAGTTGTAAAATACAACTCGTCAACTCGAATAACTTAAAATTTTTTTACTCGACTCGATCGAATGCTCACCTCGTGTGAGTGTCAGGTTTAAGATAATGATTGTTATTCGTAGGTTGATAAGATAGATTAATTTGACCATTATATGATAGAATTTACTGATGATAGAATTAACATGATCAAATTAAAAGATTATAATTAGTCGAAAGATCTTAAAAATCCTGAAGACCTTATGCAATGACTTTATTCCAAGACATTGTTAAGAAATTTTACGAGTTGAGGACTTTATTAAAGAAAAGCAAACTCTTTTAGGCAATGAAGAGACTGATTCTTTCCTTCATGCCCTCAGTTTCTCTACCTTTTAAGTTGAATGAATGAAACCCCTTGGAGAAGTAGTCTTCCCAATACAATTTAAACACGTGTCATCACCCAAATAAACTTTCGTCCATTATATATAACAGCAGCTCACCCAATTTCCCAAATAACTTGAAAACCCTATAACTTCCCGATTCGTGTTTATATACCCATCCCATTAAAATCATTCCGAATTCCTAGGGTTTTAGACTAAACCAAATCCTCCGATTAAGAAATGGAGACCGCGACTGGACAGGCGAACGCTAAGAGAAAGCCGGTGTTTGTGAAAGTGGAGGATTTGAAACCCGGTACGACCGGGCACACTCTGATCGTCAAAGTGGTAGAGACGACTCCTGTCAACACTTCCTCCAGGCCCAACAGGTCACGTGCTCTCCTATCTCGACCTGCCCCTCCGGCCCGAATCGCTGAGTGCGTTGTCGGAGATGAGACCGGCACCATCATCTTCACTGCTCGCAACGAACAAGGCATCCCTTTTTTCCCTCTTATCAATATGTATGTTTTTTAAATATATAGCCTATGTATTTTCGATTGATTTCGTATGGTGATGGACTTTATTGAGCAGTCGATAAAGAAAATTGGTTGTGTTTGTATATATGCTCTGCTTCCTATTTCTAGAAATACTTTGCTTTTGATTTCGGAGATGATTTTGGAACAAAGTAATATATTAATGGTTATCATAGTAGATGTGCATCTTTTTTTCATGATTGCATATTATCATATCATGGTATTGTTAGATGTATAACAAAAAGAAAATAAAAATCAAATATTTTGACGACGATGATGAAGATATGATGAAATTATTAAATTCAAACCATCTGATGCAGTCGATCTTATGACAAAAGGCGCAACTGTGATTTTACGGAATGCTAAGATTGTTATGTTCAAGGGGACTACAATGAGGCTAGCAGTCGACAAATGGGGACGGATCGAGGTAACCGAGCCTGCTAAATTCGAGGTTAAAGAAGATAACAATCTTTCTTTAGTTGAATATGAGCTTGTTACTGTTCCTGATCAGGGTATGAATTAGGGGCTGATCTTATGAGTAAATGAATATGAGCTTGTTACTGTTCCTGATCAGGGTATGAATTAGGGGCTGATCTTATGAGTGAATGAATATATATATATAGGAAGTGAATACTTTGGTTTGGTTTGGTTTGGTTTAGTGTCAAGATTAGTCCTTTGAGATTGCTGTAGTACTTACTAGTATTGGACATCTTATTGTGAAGTTTATTTGGGTTTTCATTTGCTTCTTGTTTATGCTATATGAACGATCAGCTTAACTTTTGGAAAAATTAATTGTGTAGTACTTACTAGTTTTGATCTGTTACAGACTCGGAAATATTTTATAGAGTCGGTACACATATGTTAATAAACATTAAAATTTTATGTGATAGTAGACATAAATAAGATTTTAAGGCGACACAATCAACAAAACAAGTTTTAAACTAAAAACATTTTGAACTTGTTGTAAATCCACCACTGGTTTCGTTTTGCCGTAAGAGTTTATGGTTAAAACACAAAAGTAGGGTTTATGATGATAATTTTTAAATCATTTATTGACAAAATTTGTAAAACAATCCCGTCGACTAAGTCAGAAGCCTTTTGAGACTTCAATTATTTCTTTCTGGCATCAAGTTTTCACTTTTATGATTTGTCGTGAACTTTACACTTTATTCAATTTAATCCATAATATATAATTTTTGCAAAAAAAAAATCTTCATCAAATTGATCATGTTACACTCAATTTTCCCATGTGCCTCTTGTAAAACACGAAAAAGATTACTTGCATAGCTGAGATTAATAATTAATTCTTGGAGAGAGGGCAGCCAATTCCATGGCGCTTACTAGGGAATGAAACAAACAAAAGGCAGCCAATGGCTCCAATGCATGCAGGCAACAACTTCAGCCACAAATCATCACCACCCTCTGCCGTCTTCGGACGAAAGCAGTTGACAACATTTGATCGAACAAAACAAGTGCCATGAAAATCATTATCGACACCGAAGCATGGAGGAAATCAATGAACTTGAGCTTATATTTGTTTGCCTCCTCTTCCGAAAGTTCAACCTTGCCATCCATCACCCATAGCCCTCTAAACGTAGCCACCCCGTATCGGACCTTGCCTCTTTCATCTCTATGACTATCGGTGAACGAAAGAAAGAAACAGACTCCGGTGCAAAACGCCACGAGGCCGAGCAGCAAGTTTTGGCAGAGCTCGGTTTTGCACCGGCCGTTGTTCGTTAAAATCGGGGACAGTAATTGGAACGTTAGGGCGGAGCCTGTAGGCAGAAGCTTTGACAAAATGGTGGTTCCTTTGAACGTCTTTCTCACGATCTTTTGTTTCTTGGTCTTTGGTTGCTTTAATATTGGTTGTAATAATGGACATTCCGACTTGGTCTGAGGCTCTCCGGCTCCGGTTTCGACATTCTTCAAGAGGGATTGTTTCTGTTCTTCGGCTGTGATGTCCATGATAAAGCAAATTGCTTCAAGCTTTCGTTGATCTTTCCACAATGTAATTTGCAGAGATTATACGATTGACATGAAAGAAATGGGAAGCATTTGTAGGGAAATGGAAACCGTCGTGAAACTAAGTGCATGGGAAACAGTTAGCATAAACATGAGTAAATTTGGTGGTTTTGTTATAAGAGAGCGGGCGTTACGATTTACAGACCATAATTGATAATTAAGGAACCTCAGTTTCACAAATTTGCCTCCAAACAAAACAACCATCCTACAAGTTCTTAATGTGCGCTTGTACCAACATAATACGTTATTGTTTTATAATATTTTTTTATTAGTAAGCTGTTAAACGTTAGCTTGATGATGTTATACGTTCCGTTAAAATGTGAAATAGAACGTTGTTCTCCTTTGAGGTCTTGAGTTCGAGCAACTATATTTGCAGGACGTGTGTATGTTAAATCCGGTGACTAAAAGTAAACATTTGTGAAATGTTAGTGGTCATTTCAAGAATTTACCCATTGTATAATTATATATAATGAATTTTTATTTTAATTTATTTAAAATGAATGGAAAATATTACTTAATTAATATTTTCTTGAAAAAAAAATATGTGCAAAATAATTATTATAACAATGTTTTAAATAAATTGGTAAATTAGAGGGCATGGCTTTCCTTCTTGACTTCATCAAACCAATGTGTAAAGTCATTATGGCACTGTTCGATGTTAACCGTTAGCTCACAACCCACGAGTAACACATTTGAAAGCTCCTTTCCCTTTTCTTGTTTTCCAATGTTTATATCAGCGATTTCTGAAATCCACGCTTTGCCTACCACTTGTTAGTTAGGTAAATCAATTTCTAAAAATCTTAAATATATTTTTTAAGAATCTTATTAAAATTTAAAATATATTTATACCTGATTAAATATATAAGAAAATATAAACATTTTATGGAAAGTCCTCTCAAAGTACAAAAAGCGTTATATAAATATATATAGGAAGACAAGATCCGCCATAACCTTTTTGACAAGTGATCCCAATTATTGATAATCAGATTTAATCACAATTATGTAACTCATAACACTTGCCTAGTGCTAGGAGTTGAAGTCATTAACCTGGACAATACACTTATTTGTAAAGACTCTTCAAGGTTTGATGGGTTTGCAGAGCAACCAGCTGGTAACATCTGCTGCTGCTGCTGCCGCCTCTTCATCCCTCTCAACAGTACCCCCAGCGCTTCTCTCATCCAATCGTACCGGCACAACTTATACGCCTCTTCAGGCGAAACCTGTTAAACAAAACAGATATTACTTTATAATCACATCGTATTATTAAAAAAAAATACTCGTTTCTCGATTATTACTGACCCATTTCCTGTTGTAAGTGATCTGTTCGGCCCACGAATCGAGTTCCTCGGTCACCTCCAAGGCAAACATGTAACCTCTGCAACCACCTTCAAGGCTGCAGCTGTTCTGTTTGCTCTTGCTTCTGAATTCCCACACTCCAGTGGATCCTCCTGGATACAAACCAAAATGTCTTTCTTCATCATCACGCATGCCATGGAGCATGTACTAAGTCGTATGTTCATTAACAATTCGATAAAATCGATACCTACATCGAGTATTCCTTTGACTCCAGCTTCCTCGAGGGCCTCCCGACATGCCGCTTCGTGCACGGTCTCGTCATCTTCCCATCCGCCCTGGAAAATCATGTTGACAATAAAAGGTCATACTTGTGTAGCGTCTAATTAGGGAATGGAGAAGAGGGGGAAAGTGTATATGTACTTTGGGGAAAACAAGATCATCACGGTTCGGCGTGGATATCATTAGAACACTGATCCTGCTTTCTTCGGTATCATTCTCCAGTCTGTATGGAATACACCTACAACAAACACCAGGAATAAAGCACTGATGCATCTACAAATCGATAGCAACAAGAGAGGGGCCGAATTACTCATCTTAGAAAAGAAGTTAACGTTGTTTTTCAAGACCGAAACATCAGTAGATTTGAGGGAATCGTTCTGATTGCAATCAACGCATTAATCTACTGATGTTTCGGTCTCGAAATGAACGTTAACTTATTGTCCAAGATAACTAATTTGACGCCTCTGGTGTTCGTATCACAAATGCTAGTGGATTAGATAAAAGATTTGGAGATTACCCAGCAACAAGCCTCAGATGATCCGTGTACCGTTGTCTGTGTCTCCCCTTTCGAGCGGGCAAGTAAGACATGGTGACCCCTTTAGTTGAAACCAACAAATCCTGAAGCTTTACGGTCGAAGAACAAGCTATAAAGCAATGGGAAAAAGCTTAAAAAGAATGAGCAAACCCAGTTTTTAATAGGAAGCAAACAAGTCAATAAAGGCAACGCTAAGTCTGAAACTTTTATTGCTCCTTCATCGAAATTTACTTGTTTTTACCAAATTAGCAGCAGGAAAGAGCAGGCAGAAAATCAAAGAAATTACCCTTTCTTGTAGGATTGAACTTGCAGGAACTGTTATTTATTCAACTAAAACTACGGCCTTTTCCTGTAACGATTGAACCACGAACCAAGATCTTCTTCATCTCCTTCAAAAGCTGAGAGGAAAAAAGAAAAGATAGTAAAAACTAATTGTTTGAGTCCTTTTTCCATTGATTTTTATAAGGGGGAGGAACGTGCAGCATCATGGAATCATCATCGCAGCAGGTAAGGGGGCCTAATCACGTCATCATCATAGAAGGTCCGGTCTGACTCATCGTTGTTTCCGAGTTGACTTGGACAAATCCCCATGCTTTTGTGTCTTAATTTGAAGGGAAAAACCGACTTCATTTACATGCAAGTCTAGAATATTCAGAAGCTAGTGAAGACCATATATTCCAAAATGAAGGGGGGAATATATGTGTAAGCATGTCCATTTAGAGGAGAATCAAAACCCAGAAAATGCCAAAAGGAAAGTAAAGGAAGAAATGTCATCTTCTCTAATTTTTTTTTTATTGTTTAATTTGGGTTTAATGGTGATTGCAGGAAGAATCCAAGAACAGCTATAGTTGAAATGGTCATGCTCTTGGGATACACGCCAATAGCGTTTACTTCGAGGTCAACTTCGGGAAATAAAATAATAATTTGGTTTAAATTATTAAAATCGGCATCAAACAGGCCCAAACGTCGGAGCAGGCACGCAAACAAGGGGCCCATCGTGGTTCCTATCCAGTCCAGTCGGTGATTTCATGACCGACGTCTCGATATTCAATTCAACGTCAAATTTGTAAGATCCGTTAATTCGCATAAATATTATTTTTATGTTTCATGCATATCAAATTTTATAATTGTTTCTTAAAAAAAAAAGAGATTATAGCATTATAACCCACAGATTTTTGGTACGGTCGTAAGCTTGGATTCTTGAATTTTTAAAGTGTTGTTAATACAAGGAGTCTTTCGTAGATATTACTAATCAGAGATATACGTATGATTTTAAGTTGGGAATAAATTTGAACTTATAAAATTTCAAGAGATGAACTTGAACTTATAAAATTTATGGGGACGAAAACATATACTCAATAAAAAATACATAAAATTTCTAAAACATATGATAATTTTAAATTTTTGGGGGACGACTACTCTTACTCGCTCCCCAATGTCCATCTCTGTTGATAATTATATTTTGTATAATATAAAGTGATGAGTTATTATTTATAGTGATTTGAGTAGTTGGAAGAAGTGGTATCTTTTGTTTTCTCTTAATTTTATTTATATACGTTGATGTATACTATTTTATGATATTATATGATGAATGAATATCGATGAAAAAAATTAGATTAATGGAATTAATTTATATAATGTCGGAATCGTCTTTTGGGTGGGCCCAGAATTGAGTTTCGACTTAGGAAAAATGATTTTGAGCAGCCACCGATAATTTATTTTAAAACAAATGGGTTGATCAGGATACCTTTGTTGAGTTAATCGATCGACGAAATAGCCAAGAGGGGGTGAATTGGCAATTAAAATTTTGGTGGAAGCTTTTGCAGAAAATAGAAAATAATTGCACAGCGATTTAGAGTGTTTTGACTTTCTCAACCAAAGTCTACGTCCACTACCTTAACTATCCACACTAAGGATTTTCCAACAAATTCACTAATTTATTCTTTCTTTTGAGGATAAAGAGTAACCTTACAACTCCCTCAAGAATTATACCTCAAATTCTTGAGAACACACTCTGCCAAAGAGAAGAATACAAATTTCACAAACTTACAGAAAAACCTTACAAGGTAGATTGTTTGCACAATTCTAGAACAAAGAAAGAACACTAAAAAATGAATACAATTGAGCACAAAGGGTGTTCTTGAAAGCAAAATGAATATTGAATGAAAAATAGGCTTGAAATGCTCAAACTTGAGGTTTGATGTTTTCTATTTGATTCTCTAGCTTCTCTTCTTAATTGTTGTTGATCAATGGCTCCTAAGCTTGTTTAAATACTCCTTGAATTACTTTTGAATGTTGGGGATTATTGGAGAAGTCAATAAAGCCGTTATTGTGTAATTATCATTTTAAAAATCTGTTGGAAGCGTAGGTGCATCAGTACACCCTCAAGAGTGTATCGGTACACTGTGTGTAAAATTCAAATATTTTGACCGTTATATGACCTAGTGTATTAGTACACTCCAGGTGCATCGGTACACTAATAGCATTCAATGTTTCTCGGATCCAGAAGTGTATCGATGCATGACTGTGCATTGGTGCACAAAATAGATTCGATGTTGGGTGTGCATCGATACACTAAGGAGTGTATCGGTATATCTCTTCCTAAAAATCATTTTTGGCTCGATTATAGTTCGAAGTACTTTGTAAAAATTGTTTCAAAAAATATTTTAAGTTTAAAACAAAATTTTACACCTTAGTAAGGATTGAAATTGACCTTTGAAAAACTTAGAGTAATATATTTGATATTCGAACAATTTAATCGAATATACTTTTAAAATTCAATAACACTTAGTTTGTTATATCGAAACATCAAAATATTTTCAACAACCTTATTTCTTACTTGATCTACATCTTACCAAAGATGTGTCGGATTCGGGAGTCGGTTACAGCCAATGAAGGGTTAGCACCCTTGAACTGCCCTTTCGGTACTTATGTAATTTCCAGTTGTCTTAAATTGAGAAAATTATAACTTTAAATAAAAATGTAACAATAACGATCCAAATTACTTACCTTAAATTGATTTGAAATACCCTTAAATAAAGATAGCGATGTTAGATTTATAGTGAAGCACGGAGTCGGATTAAGACAGAAATAATAAACAAAACATAAAAAAAGATAAATAAGTAAAAACAAGAATAAACAAAATAAATAAAACGATAAAAAAAAACAATACAAAACAATACAAAAATACAAAATAAAAAAAAACATGAAACAAAAACAAAACAAAAACAATAATGGAATTAAATAAAAACATAGATAAAAAAAGAATAAAGTAAAAAATAAAAACAAAGAAATACAATACATGTATATAAATATTAGGTAAAAATAATAGTCATATGATAATAATAACGATAAAAAAGGGTTAAATAGATGTATGTATATATATATGTGTGTGTGTGCGCACACATAGGAAAAATATAAGTAAATATAAATAAAATAAATAAAAAATAGAAAAAATATTCTCAGTGACCAAAAATCCCAGATAATATACGATTTTGACCAACTTTTTTTTGGATTTGCAAAAATGACCAACAAAATCGCAATGTGATCTCCACTATCGCAAATTCGCGTTGCGGTAATTGAAAATCGCGTTGCGATAGTTGAAAATCGCGTTGCGATTTTCCATTGCGCTTTGCGATAGTTGAAAATCGCGTTGCGATTTTCCAGTTCGCGTTGCGATAGTCTACAGTTGTCATTGCGATTTTCCAAATTCGTTGCGAAAATTCGTTGTGATAGTTAAAAAAAAGATTTTGTTTCTTAAGAATTTTCTCTAAAAAGATAGTATCCGCACGGACGTGTCGAAGACATGTATTACCACGACCACGACCACGACCACGACCCGACACGAGACGGACAGACGGCGGCGGCGGCGCGCGAGAGTCCCCCTTGTTCTCTATCACTCAACAAGAAAGTGGGAAAGCCAAGCCTTAAATACCATTCTCAATAGTGTTTCCAATACTATGTGGGATTGAGCATTACCAACACTTGTTTCCAATACAATGTGATTATTCAGGAAACAATTAACAATCATGCACTTTAAAACAACTGAATCAGCAACCAATTGCATTAGTATTATACGATTAAATATGTCATAATTAAAAGTCAATCTACAATCAATCGCGATTATTGCAATTTTAAGCAAAACATTCAAAAATAATATCACTATTTAAGGCTCAATCTCACATAGTATTAGGAACAAGTGTTGGTAATGCTCAAATCCCACATAGTATTGGAAACACTATTGGGAATGGTATTTAAGGCTTGGCTTTCCCACTTCCTTGTTGAGTGATAGAGAACAAGGGAGACTCTCGCGCGCCACCGTCCGTCTCGTCTCGGGTCGGGTCGGGTCGGGTCATGGTCGTGGTCGTGGTCGTGGTCGTGGTCGTGGTCGTGGTAATACGTGTCTTCGACATGTCCGCCCGGATACTATATTTTTAGAGAAAATTCTTAAGAAACAAAATTCTTTTTTTTAACTATCGCAACGATAACTGTAGACTTTCGCAACAACAACTGTAGACTATAGCAACGCGCGAAATGGAAAATCGCAACGACATTGTAGACTATCGCAACGCGAAATGGAAAATCGCAACGCGAAATGGAAAATCGCAACGCGGTTTTCAACTATCGCAACGCGATTTTCAACTATCGCAACGCGAAATGGAAAATCGCAACGCAAAATGCAACGTGAATTTGCGATAGTGGAGATCGCAATGCGAATTAAAGATCGCATTGCGATTTTGTTGGTCATTTTCGCAAATCCAAAAAAAGTTGGTCAAAATCATATATTATCTGGGATTTTTGGTCACTGAGGTTATTTTCTCTAAAAAAATATTAATTATACACCAAAGATATAAATATTAAAAACAAATGATGAAGAAGATAAAAAATATAAAAATATAAAAGAAATATATATATAATAATACTAATCGGAGGATTAATTTGAAATAAAATCAAAATTAGGGGGCTAATTTAAAAGTAAATTCGGTTAAAATTGATTAAAAGGGGGCAAAATAAAGGTTTAAGGAAGCAAGGGGGACTAAATGGGAATTGTCCCATTTTATTGTGAAAACGCGCGGACCCTACAAAGTGGATCGAATCACGCGCGGGTCGTGGATCGGGCATGGGCTAACTATAAAAGCCAAAAATAATTTTAAACTCTCATTTCTTGCTTCAACTCAAACCGAGCCCCCATCTCTCTTTTTCTCTCCAACTTCTTCAACAACAAAGAACAAGGGCCACGTTTTCCAGAAAAACGGTGGCCACCACCGTAGATCGGCACCGAACGCCGCTCATCGATGGTGGCCCACCAAAAAAATCATATTTTTAAAGAGCTTTTTTCTACAGTCCGAAAATCGGGTTTGATTTTTAAAAAATGGCCTCGGAATGGTAGATCTAGAGATATCTTTTCGAAAAGCCCCTCCCT